TTTAAAAATAGTCAGCATTGGCAAAGTCATTAAAAAATAGTCACTATTTTGCTGCAACACGGAAAGTTCCAGCATAATATACTGGAGATCGGTGCACATGTGTATGATCTTCCAGCATATTATGCTGGACCGGTATATTATACTGGAACTCCAGTATATTATGCTGGAGTTCCAACATAAGTATACTGGACTTCCAGCATAATATACTGGAGATCGGTGCACATGTGTATGATCTTCCAGCATATTATGCTGGACCGGTATATTATACTGGAACTCCAGTATATTATGCTGGAAGTCCAGTATACTTATGTTGGAACTCCAGCATAATATACTGGAGTATATTATGTTGGAGTTCCAATATACTTATGTTGGAACTCCAGTATATTATACTGGAGTTCTATTATACTGGAGTTCCAGTATATTATACTGGAGTACTTTCCGAATTTTGAATAGTGTTTTCGTTCAAATTTATTTTTACATGGAAAGTGGCTAAATTTCGATTACTTTTGAAATTGTGACTATTTTTGAATGACCACCTTGCATAATCGATTAGGGAAGTACTCTAACACCTTCCGGCTAATGTAACCCGATTATTGAGTAAGTTTGTGGCTAGGTGGGCTGAATAGAGAAGAAGAAGAAGAAGCCCCGCAAAAAATGGTTGTGCAAACAGACTTACCAAATACTGGCTTTGGTAACATGTAAAATAATTTATCGAACCTAAAACCTTAAGGCAATGAATGAAATAGCCTACTACGATTTAAACCCTTATAAAAATTCTTACACAACCGATATGGAACAAATGCTCCAATAAAAAAAGTATCAAAATAGCAAATAATAAGAAGGAAATTAAGCTATTCAAAACATTCTTTCTTAAACAACCGTAACATTTGCAAATTATGAACACCTAATCACAAAAAACTCTTCAAAGTCTTTAATCCAAGGGGAAGAGAATAACATTAATCAAGATTCCGAAGTTCAAATATGTGATTTTTAAATTTTCCACTTTTATTTGCTTTTGCTATATGAAATAACAAGAAAAACACCATTTATTGGAAAAGAAAAAGAAATAATTATTTTTCTTTTGTTTGATTTTTGGGTCTTTCCATAAGGTTAATTCACTTAAGTATATTATTTCCTCCCGTCCTTCTTAATTATCTTGTTTGAGCTTTACCGTTTAAAGAATTATTTACTAACATAAATTATAAAGGTTATTTTACTAAATTATCCTTCCCAATCGCGTGGTGTACTTAATTTAATTTACTCCAAGAAACAATCAAGACGTGTCATGTTCATGTCCGAACAAATAAAATGATAAATTTATTACTACATGAAGTTTCAACTTGTTTTGAACGTTTCTTCCATTCCTCTAATCTTACTAAACAAATTTTAACTCGTTCTTGTCCATATTTTTCTCCGGCAAACTCCTCGTGATGTACGTTTCATATTGAGGATCAATCAGGAATATCTCAATCAATATAGCACCTATTCCATATTTCAATTAATTGAGATCAGCTACACAAATAATTTACAGTGATTTCGTTTTATTTAGATCCATTTGCTTTAAGAATTTCTTTATAGTATTGTTGAAATGAAAGGCGTAAAATGGGACGAGGCAAAATTGGAGGAAATAGAGGCAAATAAACCCGTGAGAATGAAGATAACAGAGCCAAAGACACCATTTCATCACCTCAAGATTGATGATGAGAACAATTTTGATGAGGATGGCAATGGTAGCGATGTGGATGATGACATGACATCATGTTCAAGTAAAAGTCCTAAGTATAAGGATGATCATGTCATGGATCATAATGACGATGATGACGACGATGATGATTCAGAAAGGAAAAGGAGTTTCATAGAGCATAGAAGAGGGCATTATGATGAATATAAGAGAATCAAAGAGCTACAACAAAATGGTTCGTTTCTTGAAGAAGATGAAGAGGATGATTTATTATTGGAAGATGGTATTAAGGGCATAGAAATTGAGAAAGAAAAAGCAGACACTTCTGCATAGTCATCATCTGATCATCTTCTTTCCATGAATGTTTTGTTGTCTTTTTTCTTTTTCTGGTTTAACCCTTCAATATCTACAGCTCACATGATCTACATTTGCGCTAGATAGGACTAACGTTTGGTAGAATGCGATTTATCTTCGATCCCAAAGATATGACACCGTTGTTGGTGAAACTGCTGTTTTCACTTCTTCTTTTTTTCCTTTTCATGTGTATATTTTTCTTGCAAGTTGTATGGCACATCTTCCTTTTAGATGTCAATGGCTGCCATCACTTTTTGCTAGAGAAATGAATTATTAATGTTATGAGATCACTACAGTGGACGATGATGTGTCAAGTTCTTTAATTAGATGGTTTTACATAGTTTGGCATTGTTGTTTCAGTGACAGATTATACTGTTTGGATTTGATACGTTTTCCCTGGTTTCAGGTTTAATCTTAGGAAAAATGATGAGAACCTACTTCATTCCTGTATTTTCTTTAGTTTGTTATTAGTAACTATATTGTTATTTCTGTCTTTCTTTTTAAATTTTTCTTAGGATCTGGTTCTTAATTTGCTTCTGTGTTTCCTTTCTCACATGACTCTCACATGTTACGTGCCTCCGAGGAAAAGCTAGAAAGGGTTGTGGTCGAATGGTCATATATATAGTAGAAAACTTCCTTTTCATATTGAAAAGAAGAGCAGTTTATCAGGGATTAGAAACTTTAAGATATCTAATTACCAAATCTCCTTACAAAAATTAATCTTACCCCAAACTTATTTAGTAAAAATAGCACAGGCTAGCGTTTGTAAAGTCAATGAAAAATAGTCACTATTTTGCTGCAACACGAACCGGTCCAGCATAATATACTGGAGATTAGTGCACCTGTGTATGAACTTCCAGCATATTATGCTGGAACTCCAACACGCGGAAAGTTCCAGCATAATATACTGGAGAGCACCTGTGTATGAACTTCCAGCATATTATGCTGGAACTCCAACACGCGGAAAGTTCCAGCATAATATACTGGAGAGCACCTGTGTATGAACTTCCAGCATATTACGTTGGACCGGTATATTATACTAGAACTCCATTATATTATATTGGAGTTCCAGTATAATATACTAGGAACTCCAGCATAATATACTGGAATATTTTCCACATTTTGAACAGTGTTTTCGTTCAGATTTATCTTTACATGAAAAGTGGCTAACTACCACTTGTAAATCTGGCTATTTTTGACCCACTTATTTAACCTGATAATTCTATAAAAGACAAATAGCATGTAGTCATATAAAAGGTGTAAAATTGGAAAATAGCCACTTTGAACACATGCTATTAGAGTTAAATCAATATTTAAAAAGCTATTAGCATTAATTTAGCCACTCCTTTCATAAGAAAAAATATTTGGACCAAAAACACCCTCAACACAGACACGAGAAACAACTCTAGCAATAGGTACTGGGATTAGGGATGTGCAAACTAAATCGGAAAATCGTACCGAACCGAAAAGTCAAATCAAACCGACTAAAAATCCGATTAGGTTTGGTTTGATTTGGTTTGGTATTGAGTAAAAAAATCCTGAACCAAACCGACATATAATTATGTAATTTTTATATATACTTTTAAGACTTTATATAGAATTTTCTTTAAAATGTCTAGATATATTTGAGATCCTCTCATGAGATGTAATATTTAATAGAACTATGAAGTGCATCCATTTTTATTTACTTTAAATAATGGGTTGTATCATCACTTTCTTATCAAGTGTTATTGAAATGCGTCAATCTCTTTGTTCTTCCATATTCATATGTCAAGATCTATTAAATTCTTATATCTTTTTCGAATTTGAAATGGTATTTCGATAATTTCAAAATTAAGTAGAACATATCATTATTAAGATTTCATATTTATTTTTATGTTTAATTATTAACTTTGGTTAACCTTGAAAACATACATTAACGAAAAATTATTGTTAGATGAGTAAAAAAATATCTATCATGCGTTACTATAAAAATCTCCCATAAGAATATTTTAATAGATCATATGTTTGTTAGTTGATTAAATTTTTACTAAACATATATTCGCTTATCTAAATTTTATCTATAACTTTAATAAAGTAGGATTGAAATAATATTAATGTAATAAAAAAAATCGAAAAACCGACAAAATCGAACCAATTCAGGCTGATATAATTGGTTTGGTTTGGTTTGGTTTTGATAAAAATAGAACCAACTCAGTTCATGTACACACTAACTGAAATTCAAAGACCTGATAAGGTGAACCCTACTACACTATGCTGGGGTTCAAAAATTTGCTGAATTTTTAAACCCTAGGAACATATCATGGGGTTCAAACCCTTATAGCTTCAAACTACAGCAATGATTCCTAGAGTTTAAACACTATCTAGTTCGAACCCCAGCAATTATTCTCGGATTTGAGTTCGCTGATTTTAGAGGAAGCAGAATAGAGCAATTGCAGCGAACTGACAAGCCATAGCCTATAAGAGAACTTATCCAAGCCAAAGAATGTTTGGCCATGAACAGCAATTATCAGCATTTTTCCATAGAGAAATAGCGCTAATACAAATAGCGTGTCTAATGCAGTGTAGAATTTTTGGCGTTAAATTTTTAGAACTTTTGGCACTTGGGAAGAGCACTATTAACTCCAAACACCATAATTACCAGGCTATGTCATTACTTACTTTTTCATGTTCAAGTCAACGTATGCAACTATTCCACCTAGTAACCGTCAACTCCCACCAACAAAAATACCAAATAACTCTACCTAAGAACGAAGTTAATTTTGAGGTCATCATTGCAAAACTCATTGTTTCAAAACCAAGCCTTAAGTCCTCATAGGATCAGAATTATATCTGCAACTAATCCAAGAAGACAGTTCCTACCGTTAATTTTGTTTATTAGTTCTGGTTGAAGATAATGGAACAAGAGTCAAATAGTGTCCTTACCTGTAGAATCCAAATAAGGAAAAAGTTGGAGCAAAGCAAAGGGAAAGAAAAGTTATAAGCAAATATACTAAAGTTCTGTGGTGGCTACAAAAAAACAAAACGAAGGTGCATAATACTTTGAAAACCAATCCTCCAACAAAAAAAAAAACGAGCAAGTTGTACTACGGTTTATTGCAGCTACATGACTTGCTATCTACAAAACATTTGGACCAGTCACCTCAACTACAAAAAGCTTTCTGACTAAACAACTAAGTAGTTTTCCCTCAACTGATATTCGTGCCCCTAAAGAACGAAACTTACTTATATTGCTTCTCTCTAACGGCATTACCGTTGTTATGGCTGCCTCGAATCACTGTTCAACAACAGTCACTTGTTCAAACTCAATAAGGGACAGATTGTTGTCTTCCTTGACAGAGAAACTAGCAGGTTCAGTAACTTCAATACGTCCCCATCTGTCCACTGCAAGTCTCATCGATCCTTTGAACATGTCAATTTTGGCATTGCGCAAAATTACAGTAGCACCTTCTGTCATCATGTCAACTGAAAAAGAAATCCCCAAGTTAATAGAAGGAAAAGGTAAAGACACACGATGAAATCCAAAAACAATCCACGGAAGCAGTGAAAAAAAATTGAGATTCAAGATACACTCATTGTTTTTAACCTATAATGTATAAGATACATGTTATTTGACAGCAAAGTCTTGATAATTTCAAAATCAATCACCAAAATAATTACTAAAGAGATACCAGCTTTCCGGAATGAAGGAGCCTATGAATCCAAATTACAGCCATCACATGAAGGTATCAGTTTCAAAAAAGAAAGAGATAGGAAGAAAAACAGCATCGCCGAATTGGCCGAGCAAATCAGGAAAGCTGAATATGAAAGCAGTGAAAAGAAGAACCTCCCTGACTAAATATTTAATTTCACAATTCTCCTTCCTTCAAAAAATTTATATGATGCTTACAAGATGCAGAAACAGATAGAAAGTCAGCTTCTACATTCTACAAGACTCAGCTCAGTTTGCTAAATTTCGAAAGAAGCCAAGAATGGCTTGGATCGCACAGCCAACTATATGAAAGAAACTAAAGCAATGATTCCCTAATATATCTGATAACATACAGTTCATCCAGTAAAGACATGTAACATACCAATAAGTGAATGATATCTGTACTTGATGACTTGCTTAATTACTTATGTACAGTCATTTGCAGGGAAGATCATGGAGACTTCCTTTTATCTGTTTATTCCACTATTTGGAAACTGAAAATGAAAATTTTTCCTCACAAAACTAGAGACGTAATTAAGGTTTACAGAATAGCGGGGTTCTTTTTATTTTATAATTATCAGAAATTTATTTTTAATGACTCCAAGATTGAGCTATTCGGAAGAATAGCATGTTGAATTACTTATCAAAAGAAAAAAAAAAGAATAACATGTTGAATGCCGACTGATTGCCTGATTGACTCACAGTCCAGTCAAGTAAAATCTCAGCCTCAAAACTGCAACGTCAGCTAAGTTCAGGTATGTCTCAACTCTCAAATATTCAAAAATATCATAAGTTTGTCAGTTAAAATAAGTCGAAAATAAAAGAATCAGATTTAATTGCTTTGAATCTAACCAAAATAGCAATGAAAGAAAATGATCCATTTGGAATACCAATTAGTTTGAGTTGTCAATTAGTTGTTGTTACACTTACATCAGATCTAGGTAAAAGGAATAAGTTTGAGATATAAAGAACCTCTAGTTTTTCAGAACCCCTAACTTACCTTAGAGAGATACTAATATTGGAATGTAGCAGCTCAAATAGAGCAGAATATGTAGAGGATTCATATTGCCCAACCCCAACTTGTTTGGGCTGGAGGCATAGATTGATTGCTTGAATCAAACTAAAATAACAATGGTTTGGATAATTTTCCCATATTTCCAAAGAAAATTGAACTAGGATCAAGAATCAAAATAAGAGATATTGAACACTATTTTTCTCCTATTCATGTATCATAGGTCGGCAAGATCTGAACCTAATCCAACAGTCATTAAACCGTGGCGGAATAACTAAAAAGCAAAAATCTCTCCTACTGTTTCCCTTCTTGATCCTACTTTTAGAAACGCAAAATGGTAAACACCAGAGAACTTAACTTGTCTTAATTTGAGATCAGCTAGAGCTATGAACTGTATTCCAGCAAACATGTTAGTCCCTAAGGTTCACTCCTCTCGACTCACATAATACATAGTAACAGCTAACACTAAACATGCTAGACCGTGTGTCTAGAGGACAAATAAAATCTTTAACATGAGCAATTTTTGCCAAGTACAAACCATAAAGCTGTTCACGTATTGGAAGGTGGACCCGGTATCAACAGGTGAGAGAGCAATTAATATGAACATGCTCCTAGGGGCCGTTTCAAAATTTTCATGACTTCTAAAGTTAGCCAAACCTCAAATCATGTCGAGGTCCAGTACCTCAATCTGATCAGCTCTTCATCCCAAAGCTAAGATTGTCTCACGAAAAAGCCTTGTGAAGTAGACAAAACTAGAAAATAGCAATCTGATTCTTTTTTTGCTGGTTTGACCAGTATCAATCTGATGTAATACACCAGAAGTATTTACAATAATATATAATCTTGGATCCTAAGGAGTAAGGAGGGTAGAAAAGCTTGAGCATGGACCAAAACGTAGATCACAGAAATATGTGCCTCTAAGACAACTCCAAGGAAGATTATAGAAGAACACAGATATTATCACCCTAAAAGAGTTTTTGGTTTTTACCAAGTGCTAGTATCTTAGACAGTAGACCCCATAAGAGCTGAGAGCCTGAGACTTCAGCATGGCCTTAAAAACAAATGCAAAAACGTGTTTATTGGAAAAGTACCAACTATTATTCCCTAGGCTTAGCATTAAGCATTAGATCACACCCTATTCAAGTACCTCATTGGTCTTCTCTNAAAACACGAAAACTTAGACCAATTAGATCCCTTACTTAGTCAATTAACATTAAAGGTACAATCTTTACTACCCTTATCCCCATAAAGGTACAGTCTTTATTACCCTTATCCCCTTATTATCCAGATTAATCTTTTCTTTTATAACCAATGAATCCCCGAGAGCAAGCTAATGCACGTGTGGAAATTTGGTGGATAATGAGCCCGCTCTTCTACCCTTCTCCGTATTATAAAGATTAATGCAAAGGAACATAATAGGCAATAGGATTCTCTCCTTTTACAGGTAAATACTAAATTCAATACCTTGATCATTTCTAGCAGTGAAAATGATCATTCCAGTTTCATCACCAACCAAGCATTCAGCTAGTCGCATCTGGCGGCTTTGATTTCCCCTTGGCACTACCATTTTTGTATTAACCACCTTCACTGTAAGATTTAGGCCTGCACCCATTGGTCTAAGCTGATCAACCTTAGTGAAAACTGGCTGCTGCTTCTTTGGTTCACCCATTTTTTATTTATACCTAACAAAAACTCACAAAGATCAAATTTTTACACATACCCAAATCAAGAAATTGAAAAATAGACTCAAACGCATATTCAAAAAATACAACAGATCAAAGAAAAACCAAATCTTGGTGAATAAACCACCGCAGAAAGCTGCAGAAAAAACAGAAAAAGCGAAATGGAAATTTATTTTTTTGAAGAAATAATAGAAGAGATTTGAGTTTTGGTTTACCTGAATTGCAGAGGAAATTGAGATCTGAGTATTCTTCTGGAGATTCAGATTGGAAGTAGGAAAACAGAATGGAGACCTCAGGCTTGGGGACTTTGGTTTTGACGAGAGGACTAAATATCAGTTTGCTCCCGGGAAATTGTTGAAAGGTTTTAATATGCCCCCTAAGAAAATAGTGTTCTACAATTAGTCCTCGACAAATAGTAGGAGTATTCTTTTTTATTTTCCCACTTAGTGTTCGATACCCGTTTTGGGACCCGACTACACCTGAATTCAAGCCGAAAAGTTTCACATTAGGGATAAAGCGTTCTCTAACAAAGGCGACTTCATATCGATGAGATTTTTTTTTAAAGGAAAAAGGTCTAAATTTACCCTTTAACTATGCAATACGGTCTAACTTTACCCTTTGTTAATAGTTGAAGTCGTCCATGTACCTACCATTAGAAAAATTGTTAAAGTAAGCAATCCATTAATCATAACAATCACTCTTATACTCTTTCTGTTTTAATTTAGATGATATATTTTATTTATCGATAGTTAAATTGATTAAATTTTGAAGCTAAATTAATTTTAACTTAATATTTTAAAATTAAAATTAAGATATTCAAAAATAATAGAAGAAATACTATAAATTATAATTTTTTCATGTCAATATGATAAAAAATATATTTTAAAATATTGGTCAAACTTCACTTAGTTTGAAGTGAAATATATAATCCAAATTAAAATGGAGGGAGTACAATATACAAAAAATAGTCATATTTACCCTTGTACTATGAAAAAATTCATATATAATATTTCTAATCTCTACTGCTATACTTTCAGTCATATTTGCCTCCACCCGTGAAATGTTCTAATCCCAACTTAAAAAGTACTGGCTGGCCTAAGATCAATTTTAAATACCAGATTCATTTTAATCAAATCCGTGAATCGAGAACTAAAGTGTGATTTGTTTGGATTCAAAGCACAAAAATAGTTGAAAAAAATAATTGATGACCATTTTATGTATAGCGTGTGGATTGCATACGTTATACCTTAACAACACGTTTGTCCGTTAGGTATAGCACATGCAGTCCATGCGCTATACTTCTTAATTGACTGACCCACAATAATTGGTGGGTATAGCACATAGCTTTACTGCGCTATATATATAGCGTGTTTAATTGTTATACACTCCAATTAATGTACCCTGCACAACTTTTTTGCTTATTGAAGGAGCTTCATTCTTTCTTCAAAAATCCATTCCGAAAAATTCAGTCTTTTGCATCCTTTTATTTTCCTTTACTCATTTCGAAATATTTGTTTACTTAACCTTTTTTGTATTTTTCCATAAAAGTCTGAAGAGCGAATAATTAGTGTTGCATTATATTGGAGGTTGAGATTGTCGTGGAGAATAACTCAGTATACTATAGTTGTTCTCCATAATGTATTGTTAAGTTGCCACTTACATTAGAGTATGATAGATTGGTATCGTTGATACGTAAAAGAATGAGTGTGAGAAAACGATCGGTTAATATTAAAGTAACCAGAAAATATCCATATTCTTTTATTCCGCAAGGGGTTGCTTGTTATACTGAGTTTAACATCGAAGACGATGAAACTCTGAAAGATTTTTTGAGGACTCCGGAAGAACACCGGGAACTTCTTGTGATAAAAATGCTGGAAATGTACATCAACTCTGAAGACGTTCGCAATATTGAGGTTCCACATCGGGTGGTTTTTTTGGAGCAGTTTTATCCGAACAGGTTCCGTTTGAAAGAGTTTGTCCAGATCTAAACTTATCTCCACAGGCAAATGAGGAGCGAGGACATAATTTCTCCCCAAGTTTACATAATTCACACGTCGAGTGGTAAATTTCAATTTTTCCATTGTCTTAGTATGTTTTTTTTATGTATCATATTCGTACTAACACTCATATATTCCAAATGGGGTACCTGCCAGATATGAATTTTACCAGTTATGAACCAACCAACAGTTGAAATATGCCCAATTTTGATGTTTTGGATCATGGTGGTCCATCCGGGAGTCATCAGCAATTCGATAATGTGCATCATAGGGTATCAACAGATTATGAATTGTAAGTTAAGAGATAAAGTTAATATATAATGTTGGGATGAATTTGAGAAACTCATTATTTTATTGGTTGTGGGTGAAAATGAGCAACTTGAAGGTCCTGTCCTTACTCAGTTGCCCGAAGATGATATATTTATTCAGGATCTGGCAGATGCACAGAGTCAGGAAGATGATAGTGATTATGACAACAATGCTGATGAGTCTGGAGATGATACACGATTCCCTGATGAGGGCGACGAAGATGAGGAAATGCATTTTGCTGATGAGAATGAGAATGAGCAACCTGATTTGCCGAGGGAGCATGATGCCACCAATGAGCATGCTCCATATATGTAGACTTTACCTCCCATTAGACCCAGAGTGTACGAGTCACATGTGCCCTTTCATTCAAGGGCGATTCCCTACCTTGATCAGTTGCCCAGTATGCCGGATGTGGATGACCTCACTAGGGATCTTGATGACATTCAGACAACAATGTGGGATGAATCTAGACCAGCAGTGATGTCAAAGAATATATTTTTTGCTGATAAAGCGCGCCTTAGCAGGGTGGTGCGAATGTACATCTTAAAAGGGTGTTATGAGATCGAGGTTCATGAGTCATCTCCGGAAGTATATAAGGTTATTGTCGTAGATGGTTTCAAGGTTGTAGATGGATGTTACGTGCGAGAAAGTTGAAAACAAATATGTGGATTATGAGGAGATACATTGGCACACATACTTGTGATATGGATACATTCAGTGGGAATCATTTCAACTTGAATGTTGACTTGATTTCTCTTGTCTTGATTCCACACATTGAATCGTCCGTAAGGTACAAGATTAAAGAGTGTATAACATTTGTCCACCAGGTATATGGCTGTACAATTACCAAAAGAAAGGAATTTCTTGGGCATAAACGTGCATTTGAGATTGTTTATGGTAACTGGGATAAGTCATTTGCCGCTCTACACGGGTACATGGCTGCTTTGCAATACTTTAACCCCGGGACTGTTGTTGAATGGAAGCTTGAGCAGAGTCCGAGAATACCAGAATTCATATTTAGATATGTGTTCTGGGCATTTAAACCAGCCATTGATGGTTTTGTGCATTGTCGACCGGTAATCTCTATAGACGACACTCATGTCTATAGAAAGTATGAGATTAAGATGTTGATCGAAATTACAGTAGATGCTAATGGAAGCATATTTCCCCTCACATTTGTTATTTGTGCTAATGAAAGTCAAGAGACTTGAACATTTTTTGAACCACTTGAAGGAGCACGTTGTTAGACAGCATTCAGGTATTTGTCTAATATTTGATCGGCATGGTGGTATTTTAAGTTCTGTACAGACTTTGGATGCATGGCGGGAACCATATGCCTACCACCATTACTTTGTTAGGCACTTGAAGGCCAACTTTCAGCGGGCTCATCCAAACAAGAGCTTACATGATTTAATGTGGATGACTACAACAGATCATCAAGAGTGTAAACTCAGGAGGCGAATGGAATTGATTAGGCAGGAAGACCTAGAAGCTTATCGTTGGTTAATGCGACATGAGCTTGATAAGTGGACTTTTCATAATAATGGTGGTAGAAGATGAAAAATTTTGACTACAAATGTGTCAAAGTCTTTCAACGGGTTGTTGAAGTCTACCTGTGGATTGCTTGTCATTGCCATGGTGCGAATGTCATTCAAGCAGATGGCAGAGAGGTTTGTTGAAAGATCCCAAAGTCAATCATCATTGTTGGAAAGGGGTGTTCAATTTGTGCCACATCCGATGAAACGATTTGAAAAATATAGGAAGCGAGCACAGTGGCATATATTTTTGCAATATTGTAATGAGCAAAATATTTTTGAAGTTCGCACTGCTATGCATCAAAACTGCGGTAATAATACCCACACCATCAATGAATCCTGAAGATTATGTTCGTGTGAGAAATGGTCGATCTATCACTTGCCATGCTCACATGCCATCAAGTGCTTTCAACATACAGGTTTTGCGGCGATGAGGTACGTTGATAAAGAATATATTGTTGCTCCATACGTAAACACCTATAGTGGCCACTTTCAACCAGTCAGTGTTGAGCATTATTGGCTGCCGAAACTATTTAAAATGGTGTGAAATAAGGATTATGTGCGTCACCGGCAAGTGCAAAAACGAACATGGATACGGAACCAAATAGATGTTGATGATACCGTTTATGCGCGTAAATGTGGTATATGCACCCAAACATGACACGATCGCCTTAAATGTCCTTCAGTTGGTTTGGGAAGCGGTGGTAATTTAGCTCTCGGTGGCAGTTCATCCAATGTGCCCAATTTTAGAGGATAAATTTAATGTTTTGTTACAGTATTTTTGTTGTACTAAATGTATGAAACGGTGTTGTTTGATATATTTATGAAATAAAATTAAGTTTCCAATAGGTTTAAATTTAATTGACATTTAGCATTGAAGATTCAATACAACAATTAAAAATAACTTCAATAAATAAATAATGATTTTCATTTGCCATTATCGTCATTGTCTGGCCTTATTTCATTGTCATTGTCGTCATCTTCTTCGTCAATATTTTATACGCATCCATCCAGACCGAGGGCATCATAATCTAGGCTCCAGTTAACATACATTTCTCGTATTTCAGCGCTATCATCAATAAGACCACTTGCTTGATTTCTACAACAATATGGGACTCATACGTCCAACGTTTGCGGGTAGAAACTTAGGTAGTACCTCACACTCAACAACTGTTGGAAATACAGGATAATCAATGTCTCTATACTATTTTTAATTTTCTAATAAATCTCAATACTGATCCTCCTTTCCTTGCAGGTAGTTAAGATCATCCAGTGCATGATGAATAACTAGTGCCTTTTCCATCTCTAAAATCTCCTTCATCAAATGCCGAATCACTTCTGGTTCATCTTTGTGTGTGTTTGTTTAGAATGTTACAGACAGTACTTGCCATACAACTAGCCCATGCCAATGTCATAGTACTTCATAATCATACCTTTTTGAGTAAAGGGGAACCCATTATAGTTTTTCACTCCAAATTCGCATACCTTC